TCATCCCTGCAACCTCTCAGATAAGCCAATTCTAAAGCTGTTAGGAAAAAAATAAGCAAGATTACCCAAGAAAAAAATTTTAAACTACAATAATTAAACGTGTGCATTATTTTTTTTAAGTTTATTTATCAAAAGTTGCATGCTCTATTGACTGAGCCAGCCAGGTGCCCCAAACCTCTGCCTTATTAAAAAATATATATATCATTGAGGGGTTCCTGAGTGGCTCAGTTGGTTAAGCGCTTAGTCCAACTTCAGCCTAGATTGTGGTCTTGCCGTTCCTGAGTTTGAGCCCCGCATAGGGCTCTGTGCTGACAGCCTGTTTCAGATTCTGTGTCTTCCTGTCTCTCTGCCCCTCCCCCACTCACGCTCTGTCGGTCTCTCTCTCAAACATAAACATTAAAAAACGTGTAAACAAGAAGGGAAAAGCTTTAAAAAATTAAAATAAAATAAACTATCATTGAGACAGGATTAAAAATCCCAGTAGAAGCTCAAACCCACCTGAAAACTTGTTATATAATAAAGGTGGCTTTCTGTAACAGCCTAGAAAAAGCAGATTTCAATAAATGGTATTGGAATACTGGCTAATTGGATCCTGCTTCATACCTTACCATAAAATAAACTGTAGGTGGATCAAAAGATCTAAACACAAAAAAGTAGAACCAAAAATACCAGACAAAAGCATGGCAACGTAATCTTGGATTGGGGAAGGCCTCAGTACAACAAATCCCTAAAAGCCGTACAAAAATAGTAAGTTCTACCTAAAATAAACTTATGCCATACAAAATAATACAAAATAATAAATTCTACCTAAAATAAATTCATGCTGAAGACCACATACTCAGTCAAAGCCTAAACTGGATAAGACAGATTTAAGTCACGGACCAAGGACTGATTTCCTTAATGCAGAGAGAATTCTTCAACTTTTTTTTTTTTTTTTTGGGACAGAGAGAGACAGAGCATGAACGGGGGAGGGGCAGAGAGAGGGAGACACAGAATCAGAAACAGGCTCCAGGCTCCAAGCCATCAGCCCAGAGCCTGACGTGGGGCTCGAACTCATGGACCGCGAGATCGTGACCCGGCTGAAGTCGGACGCTTAACCGACTGCACCACCCAGGCGCCCCAATGCAGAGAGAATTCTTAAAGATCATTAAGACCAACCACCTAATAAGGAAAAGGGGCAATGGATAGGGAACAATAGCTTACGGCAAAAGAAAATACAAGCGGCTCTTAAATAAGATGTTCAACCTCAATCATAAAATAAAATCGAAGCCACTTTTTAATTTATCAGTCTGGCAAAATTACAGTATTAATACTGTATTGGTTAAAAAAATACTGTGTTGGCTTCAGCAACTATGTAGGGTTGGGTCTCGTCTTGCTTTAAAAAGATAAGAAAAATCAAAGCCAAATGATTTGTCTCAGGTGTAGGTTACCGACTAGTTCCTAATTTGTTGGACTCCAAAACTCATGTCCTTAATCAATGAACAGCGCTGCTTCCCATACACATTAAGAATTAAACAGAATTAAAAGAAGGTAACACTTGAGAATTTAGATTAGGGTTTCTCAGTATCACTGCCATGGACGTTTTGGGCAAGGTAATTTGTTGCAGTGGGGAGGGCTGTCCTGTGTATGGGAGAATGTTTAGTGGCATCCTTGACATCTATCCACTAAATACCAATAACACCTATCCTCCACAGCCCCTTACCTGCCAATTTTGACAGCCCCAAATGTCTCCACACATTGCCAAATGACCCCTGGTAAAATTTCCCCGGTTGAGAACCGCTGCCTTAAATATTCCTACCTTCTAATGTAACCTAAGAGATCAAGAAAACAGTATTATGCCCAAAGGCAGTCACTGTTGTAATACTGAGAAGCAGAAACATCCAGGGGTGCAATATGGATGAAAGATTTAAAAAAACTATGGCATATCTAGCCAGTGTATTACAGAGTTGTTCACAATGCCCGTATGATGATGGAAACTAGAGAATCAAAAATTGATCCTTTAAAAATAATGGCTACAGGGGCGCCTGGGTGGCTCCGTCTGTTAAGCGTCCGACTCTTGATTTCAGCTCAGGTCGTGATCTCAGGGGTTGGTGAGTTTGAGCCCCACATCAGGCTCCACGCACTGACAGTGTGGAACCTGCTTGGGATTCTCTCTCTCCCTCTCTCTCTGTGACCCTCCTGCACACTCTTGCTCTCTCTCTCTCTCTCTAAATAAATAAACTTAGACATGGAGGAAATGTTAACGCATGTTGCTAAGCAAAAGTGGCCAGGCTGAAAGGCTACATACTGTAGGACTCCAACTACACGACATTCTGGGAAAGGCAAAACTAGGGAGACAGCAAAAAGATCCGTGGTTGCCAGGAGTTACAAGCGGCAGGAGGGATGGACCAATAGAGCATAGATTTTTTGGACAGTGAATCTACTCTGTATGACATGTAATGGTGGGCACATGTCATTATAGATTTGTCCAAATTACAAAGAATGTACAATGTCAACATTAGTACATTAGTGAACCCTAATGTAAACTATACTTCCGGTGATGACAATAATAAACATCGGGTCATACGTTAGTATGACTATATTACTTTGGCGGGGGGTTGTTGATAGTGGGGGAGGCTGTGCATGCGTGGAGCCAGAGTATATGGGAAGTCTCTGTACTTCTTGCTCAATTTTGCTGTGAACCCACAACTGCTCTAAGAAAGTCTATTTAAAAAAAAAAAAAAATCTTCAGGCTTTAAAACATGTCTGACCTGTTCAAACTTTAGAGAAAAACAGAATCTTCCCATTATTTATTCAGCTTCTTAGACATGCGATTAAGGACTAGAATGATCTTCCTTTGGCAAAATATGGTTCCATCACCACTGCTAACCCAAATTAACGGTGCTGAGTGGTGACTTTAGTAACACATTCTCATATCAGAGCAGTTAACAGCGAGTGCTAATGGGTCAGCCTTAAATTCAAACCTAGCCGAGGCACTTAACACCTCTGATTCCCTGGATCCATTACTGAGATCTCTGAACTGTCAATTTCATTTTCTTTTTTAAGTAGACTCCACACCCAATGTGGGGCTTGAACTCACAACCCTGAGATTAAGTCGCATGCTCCACTGACTGAGCCAGCTGGGCCGTCTCCCGTGAACTGTCAATTTCTTACTTGCAAAATGGGGTTGTTATCTTAAAAAATGGTAGTCACCTAAAAATGCCTGGGACATAGGGGTCCAAATGTCAAGGGAAAAATAAAACAATTGTGTTCTCATGAAAAAACAACTTACATATACGAATCTCAACTAAGTCCAAAATGTATTTTGGCGGTAGTAGGATACGTAATTTTAAGATTCAAACTTCTAGCGTCCAAATTTTCTATAATAAACATGTATTGTTCATACACAGGAGACTTTTTTTTTTAGAGAGAGCAAGCAAGTGCACCAGGCTCCATGCTCAGCAAGGAGCCCAACCTGGGGCTCGAACTCCTGACCCTGGGATCATGACTTGAGCCAAAATCGAGTCGGATGCTTAACCAACTGAGCCACCACGCTGCCCCAGGGAACAAACATTTTAAAAACCATAGCACAAAAACTGTAGAAAAGAATATTTTATTGAAACAGTTTCTCAATTAACAATGGACCAAAGTACAATTTGACTCAAACCTGTCCAACCAGCCTCAACCGCTAGTGAAAGAACTCAAACATACAGGATGGGGTGGGACCCTTAAGTCTCATATCTGCCAATGTGGCAAAAAAAAAAAAAAAAAAAAAAAAAAAAAAAAAAGGAAAAAAGACAAAGGACAGACACAACCAGGTTCCCCCTTGCCCTGGGAGCTGGGTGGCGCTGTGGCTCCTGCTCCAGACGAATACTGGAGGACAGGCTCCCCAACATCGGCATGATGGGTAAAGAGCCTCCATCTTGGCAGAGCAATGCAAGAAAGGCAGGCCAGCCCACACCCTCTTCCTTCACCCACACGGCCTGCCTCAAAGAGGGCGAGGTGGCATTTTTACATTCACGCCATGGTCTCTCCTTCTCCCAGGGTCTTGGGATAGGGGCTCACAGTAGAAAGCACATTTTGGTCAGCCCAGGGGGCCAAGGGACCAGGGAAAGGCCATATCTAGGAGGGCAGAAGACAGGAGAGCAGAGAGGGCCAGGAGTCACAGGGACACGGAGGGACAGGAACAGGGAAGATGCAGACTCTGACAGTGCTCGCAGGATGCTGGCATCCCACGCTGGCCACTCCACACGCTTTCCTGTGTCTGAGAGGCCATAAGTGGGAGCTCCCGGGTTTTCAGACGTCTCTCCCACAGAGGCAGCTGGCTTCCCTTCTTCACGTTCTTGCTGCCTACTCTGGCCACCGCGGGTGGGGATGGATCTAGCTTTACTGCAGCCAGTCCAGATGGAAAGGCTGGGGCAAGAGGCAGACAGCTGCCTTACTCACAACCGGAAGCCAAGGAAACCAGGGGAAGAGTCGTCACCGGGGATGGGGCCTTTTAGGGAAAGACAAGACCTTGGAGGAGGAAAGAGCATAGATAGGCACTCAGAAACCAGACCTGGTAACCAAGGCTCTGTAGACACTGGCCCCTGTAGGGGCGGACTTGGTAGTGGAAGAGGGAAGCAGGGAGGAGGACAGAGAAGACTGGAGACTCTCTAATAGCCCAGGGCATCCGTCTCCCACCTGCCAGGTCCATCGACCCCATCAACAGCCAATCTCTCACCTACCCACAGGCAAAGAATTAAGACATAATAGTGATTTTCCCCAAATGAGGGCCTGGATGGGTAAGGAACCAGGGGTGGGACTGGGAAATAAAACAATTTCAGTTTTTACCACAGAACCACTGCCGAAGGAACTGGTGAGCTGTCCCTTCCTCCCCATTCTCCACACCTCCAATCAAGGTGAGAGAAAAGGAACCGAAGCCTCTGAAGGCAGGAGCAACCCCTCCCCCGACCCTCGATGTTTAATAAATAGAGGAGGTAGGAGAAGGGGGAGGGGTGAAAGGGGGAGCTGGGGGTTGGTTATAATTCATCATTCTTCAAAGTCCGCTTCTGTCCTGTCGGCTGCTCCTTCTGTTCCGGTTCTGCTGGGAGTGGGGAAAAGCGAAGGAATGCCAGCAGGTGAGATGAAGGTAACTGGCCCCATTCTGGGCAGATCCTCCCCGCTGGGCCCTACTAGGCTTCCCGGGTGCCCCCAGCCCCATGCTCACCTGCTCCAGGACCTTCTAACTCCAGAGGTTCGGTGTCTGCCTGTTCAGATCCTGCTTTTGGGAGGAAGAGGTTAGCCTCTGCAGAAGGGAGGAAGGGACTAATGAAAGGGTTGGCAAACTTTTTCTATAAAAAGACAGATGGTGAATGTTTTAGGGGTTGTGGGCTACACCCGGCTTCTTTGCACAGACATGCTTGTGTGGATATGTAAGAACCTAAAAACGTAAGGACTGTTCACAGCTTGTGGACCTTCTAGAAACAGGCTGTGCCTGCAAGTCTGCCGACCCCTAGGCTTAGCAATATCCATATTCCCAATCACTTTCTTCAACTCACCAGTCTCTTTCTCAGGTTCTGAAATGGGCTTTGCATCTTCAGTCTGGCCTGGAGGAAAACCAGGGGTAAAATGTGGTCCCAGGAGGGAAAGGAGGCCTTCTTCCTGCCCAGTGGCACCTGGAGCCAGGCACCCTGCCCTCACCTGGTGGAAGGATGACCTTCTCTGCTTGGTCACTGGCACTGGCATTGAGGGGAGGCTCTGCCCGGGTTGCATTCTTGTCCTTGGGTCGGGGCCGGGGCTTGGTAAACTTGGCCTTGTTGAGCAGATACTGCACCTCACGGTCCAGGGCCATCATCTTGGCCTCGATGTCTTTTGAGAGCAACACGGGTTTCTCTGTGGCGGGAAGCTTGGCCTGCTCGGCCATGGTCGCATTCTTCCAGGCCTGTGGGTGAGCCCAGGACAGGCTCAGAGCTAGCCCTGGAGAGGGTAGGTTATCTCTGGCCCGGATGAAATACACCCCAGACCGGCCCCAGGCTCTTCTCTCAGATGGCAAACCACTCCACTACTCCTGGCTGTCAGCCCCACGATGGTAAGCAGACTCTTCAGAATGGCATCTGAGGCTCCCCACAAAGGAGTCCCAAACTCATAGCCATATCTGTGGCTTACAATACTAGGGACCAACTACAGCTGAAGCTGTTGATTATTCCCTGGTCTCTCCACTTCTGAGCTCTGGCTCAATATTACTCTCCACACACCCAAAAGGAAGAGTTTCGGCCTCCCATGACAAGTTTTCCCTGGCTCACCTTCTGAGCGCAGCTCAAGCCCCAGCTGCTTGGAGCAGCTGCTCTAACCTCATAGGGATGGGCTCTGCTGCTCCTGCAGTCTGACAAAACTCATGGCCGTGACCCTTGCTTGGGGCTAATCAGACGTGGCCTCAAATGTAAATGCCTTCCGCCTTCCCGATTAGCTGCCGGGCCAGGAGGCAGCAGCTGCTGAACCCCGGTTTCTCGGCATCTCCTCTCTGTCCAGCATAGCACACCTTGCCAGGTGAGCATCCCAGTAAGTGTTCATGCAGGGATTACCCAGGTTTCGTTGATGACTTTCTCCAGCGTTGTCATCTCCACCTCAGTGAAGATCTGCTCCATCTCTGGGATGAGCCGGGCGCCCCTGTAAGCCAGGAAGGAGACGGTGAGCCCAGGGGAAAGAGGGATCTGGGGTGTGGGCATGGGGCATGGGAAGCTGATGGACCTCCAGCCTTGGCAGGACCGAATAAGGAAGAAAATCGAAGGGGCTGCTCACTTGAGGAACATGCTGGAATGGTTGAGGAGATTATCAAGGGCAGCCAGCCGTTCGGGCCACTTCTTGCGCTCTTCTACCCGAAAAAACAACCCGTGGCATAGCTTCCTCAGCTCAGTCAGCTTCTCCTTCAGCATCTGACGGACGCAGGGTGGGAGTGGGCAGAGGGGGTTGAAGGGATGAGAGCCTGGCCCTGGAGCCGACCCCGCGTCTTTCTCCTGGCCTCACACCCCAGCTCTCCTCACCTTCTCTGACCTTCTGCCTGTAAAGAGCAAAGCGAGGGCTCCCATCCCACCCACCACGTCCTGGGAAGCCACTTACCACTGTGGTGGCCCCAAAGCCCTCGTCCTCCAGCCAGGCGGAGGCAGCGCCGAGTTTCCCAGAGATCTCTTCACGCTGCTCCTCTGTGGACACTTCCTGGTACTCGGGTTGGTACAGTTTGTCCTAGAGAGGTGCACACGGGCCCAAGCATGCACCGAACCCCAAGAGCAGGGCTCACAGAGGCAGACCCTCCTCAGACACAGGTCCCGGGGCAGCTGTGTCTCCCAGCCCACCAACCTGGGTCTCAAAGATAAAAGCTTCCAAGCTGTTGGCAGCCTTTTCCCGTTCCTGCTTCTCTAAGTCTCGGGACGTCAAGTCTTGAAGTCTGTGGGATGACAGAAGCAAGCATGAGGGAGAGAGCATGTTGACCTCAGACCCTGGGGCAGACGGCTCTCCCTCCCATGGGTGCCACTGCCCTTACCACCCTGTGCGTGCATGCTCACACAGACACACACACACACACACGCGCACGCTGTGCACAAACCTCTACTCACTTTTGCACTGAGTGGGCCAGCTCATCCTCGGGCAAGTCAGGCAGGTCCAGAACCACCAGCTCCACCCCAATCTCCTCTACCATTCTTTGCTTCCGGGCAGGCTTCTGCTTCTTTTCTTCCTCTGGGGCTGGAGGGGCAGCCTCAGACCCTGCCTCCTTTTTCTCACTTGGCTTCTGGTGGGGGAAAGAAATGAGGAGGTCAGGGGAAGCTCAGGTCCTTCTATTCCCCACAGGCAGGCATCTATTCCCTTCGCCTCCGGCTCACCTGGGCCTCAGGCTTTTCCTCGTTTTCTTTTTCTGTGGCCTTTTCTTCCTCAGGAACCGCAGCCTCCTTCGGCTCAGTGGGTGGGGGCGGCGAGGTGTCCTCCGCTGGGGCCTCCGCCTCCTCCTTGAGCTCCGCTTGCTCTCCAGGCTCATCCTTGCTCCCCTCAGCAGGGCTCTCCTCTTCCTCCTGGGAAACAAGAGGTCCCCAGCAGAGCCTATGGATGAATCGCTCAGCCGGCAACGCCAAATCCCCCAGGCTCTGCTGCGAAGGGGCCTGCTGCTCCCAGCACAGCCTGGGGACAGGCAGATGCCCATACGGTAACAGGCTGTGCAGACTACGGCAGGCAGTCTGGTCGGAGGAGCAGTGCTTCGAGATGAAGGGAATGTGCCCTGGAGCCCGAGCACAGGGACAGCTCAGGGTCCAGAGGATGGTATGGTTCACTCGGCAAGGGCCCGGGGAAAGCGGGGAGGGTGGGGGTCTAGTCAGTCCTAGGCAGCTGGAATGCCTGCCCCAATCCCTCCCTGCCTCTGTTGCTACTACCCGGCCCCGTTCACCATCCTCCGAGCTCCCCTGGCTCCGTGCTGGCCTTACCTGGACAGTGTCTGTACCATTCTCTTTAGTGTCTGGTGTGGTACCACCTCCAAACAGGCTGGAGATGGTGTTGCCAAGTTCTAGGAGGAAGAAAACCCAGAGACTCAAAGGGGCCACAGCAGTGACACCACCTCCTTGCCCAAGGGCAAGGCCTGCCCGCCTCCCCCAAAGGCACACAAGTATATCCTCTCTCACACATACACGCACACGCGCGCGCACACACACACACACACACACACACA